TTTTAAAAAAATGTCCTTATACAAACCAGACCTCATTATAAAGAAAAATGTCCATGCTTTAGTTTTCAGTGTAGTACCTGTTACATCTCCCCCCCCCCCACATCCAATGAAAAAATCCTTTAATTCACCCCAAGAAAAAATGTATGAGAGGGAAAACAAAGATGGTTAATAATTTTATTTCTGGAAAAATTGATAATGCACCTGTCAAATTGTACTTATTCCAGTGGCCTTGGTGATATTTTTTTTTAGTGACAACAGCAAAGATTCCAAAATTCTTTCCATGGGCCACATGAAATATGGAGCAGCACACATTATTAGTTTTAACACAGAGTGATTTATTGAAACCCAACACTATTATTAAAATACTGGATTTTTTTTTCTTTTTCATCACACTATCGCTCTAAATGAATCCATATTCTCATTTCTTTATCTATTTCCCTATCCCTCAAAAAAGCCATCTGCTATTTTCTTTATGAAAAAATAAAACCTACAATTAGTGTCTTGTTCATCTTTTCTTTCTCAAAAAAAAGAGAAGAGAACTATTATGCAAATACTCTGCAATTTTGTTTCAAATACTCTTTGTAGTGTAATGAGCAATTTTCCTTAATACAACCCAGCTTTTTTGCCAGGACTTACTAATAGATATTTTAGAGAGAACTTTCAAGTGATTTTTTCACATTCTGCTGATGTAAACTTTTCAAATGCATATTTAGAATAGAATTATCATTACTCCTTGAGTTGGAAAGAAAAAAACACACCTATTGTTTATATATTCCATGCTAAAAAGAAGCTTGAAATAAACTCAAAATCTCTCTTTTACCTGACATTTTATTATTTTCTTTATCTTAAGAAATGGTCTGTACCAGATAACACTCTTAGGAAATCAGAGAGATTTTTTTTTTGTCTTTTTCTGAAAGCCTATCATAAGTGATAGCAGTTGAACTGTAAGCACAAATTTGTTGTTTGACTTTAGTTGCTTCTTGGGAACTAAAGTAGAATTAGACCCCATTTATAGAGGTATGGCTAATTCAGGTGTCTGAGGCTGTCTTCTTGTTAAAAGACAAGCATCTACAGTGAGGAGTGCTGACGGAACCGAAGTAAAAATAATCATATTTTCACTGTCATAATAAATAGCACTGCGCTAAGAATCAGAAAGCTGGAGTCTTAAAACTGACCCTGTTACTCACTTGGGAGCGATCTGAGGCAGCAATCCTACTCACCCTCATTTTACAGCACAGAATTACTACCTCTTTTGACTGCTTTATAGGGTTATAAAAAGGGTCAAAACACTGTTGCATGTTACTGCTTTTGAAATAGATTATAGAGACACAGATTTAATGGAAGTATTCTAGGAGTTCTCAGAGTTTCCTATTACCTACAGTGGCTTCATCTAGGGAGCTTGATACAAGTGCAGACTTTTGATCCATTTCCGCACCTGATTTTCTGGGAGTGGGATCAAGAATGCTACACTTGGGATAAACTTAGGTGACCCTTATGCACATGAAAGACAGAGCTACCAGAGAAGAAAAATAGAGAGAATACAATCAGGATACATTTAAGTTAACGAGATAGCTGATATTGAGTGGCTAATTAAATATTTAATTTGGTACTTGACTAAGTTAGATACTCATTTGATTGTATGTTTTGCTTATTTGTTGGTGTGTGTGCATATTTCTATGTGTGCATATCAGCACAGGAACCCTCTGACTTACACTCTTAATATTAATTAATGTTGAATTAATCAACTAATCTTAGTACTGGATTGCATAACAGGTCATTTAACTTGGCTGTCATTCCTCTCTGCACTCTCCTATAACCATAGTGGTTTGCTTTACTTCACATGTTTACTGAAATATACAGTAAGTAAAACCAAAGTGTTGATCTAGCTGGGGCCATATCAATCGTAATAACTCAAGTTTCTGGCTTTGCTGATTCTTCAGAAACTCCAGTCCCCAGTAAACCTTTCCCAAATAGTTTGGGAGGTTCCTGGGTGTCTCATACACACTCATAAACTGGTCTCCCAGTTCAGTCACCCTGTGGTATCTACAGGGTCTTTGTCCTTTCTTACCAGCTCTTGCCCCCAGGTGGAGCCACTGAGAGGTCCTAGCCCTGGCACTGTTGACTAGCACCCCCTGAGAATGCCAGTGCCCTTGCCACACGTGATGCCTCTTTGGGCTTCCCATCTTCAGGTGTTGTTGTGGTGGTCTCAGCCAGGAAGCATAGAAGCTGGTGTTCTGACTGGCCTGGTTCCTGGGGTGTCTCGGGAAAGGGGGATTGGAGGACCTAACCTACTTGGAAACATCTGGGAAATGAGGATTTCAGATTCTGCAAAACTGACTCTAAAACAAAGTTCTTTGAGTAAAGCTGATGCCATCCTACCAGCTTATTTCTTCTGTGTGGACCTGAATCACTCCTTTCTCCAGGCATGTGCCCGTACTGTCCCACCCGTACTTACTCAAGCACTAAAATGTTACACCTCACCTAAGACTCTGGCTAGATTCAGTCAATTTATATACTCCACCAGACACACCCCATAATTGTGAATAATCTTTAAACTCAACTGAACTCAACACCACTAAAACAGTAGTGGAGGTTAAAAGTGAGTAATAGCCTCAGAAATAGCTTTAAGATAATAACAATAAAAGCCAAGTGCTTCTTCAAGGCTAAAGATGAAAAACAGCAGTCTCTAGCTACCTACCTCTCCCTTCTCCGACCCCATTTTCCATGGACCAAAGCAATCACTTCCAACTTTTTGGCAATTTCTCCTGTAGCTTAGCTCCATATATCTAAATAATATGTTTATATTGTCAACTCCTGTTTTTTTTTTTTTTGGTATTATGCATCATATAGTATTAACTTTTCACTAAAACAATAGGAATATATCTTTTACACCCTTTCCATCACCACTTTGCTAAAGTGTACCTCCCTGCCCCTCATCTTCCAATTTAGTCATATGTTTGCTTATTTCAGCATCTCGTGTTTACGTTGTTATGATTATAGAACCATTTCCAGCTGTGTTCTGTAGTAAATACAATTATCTTCTTGTGCAATTCTTGAGAGAAACATCAATGATGAATCATTGATCGGCTGCCTTCCATGCCCACACTGGGGATTGAGCCACAACCCAGGCATGTGCCCTGACCAGGAATTGAACCATGACCTCCTGGTTCATAGGTCTACGCTCATTCACTGAGCCACACCAGCCGGGCGCTCTTAATGCACTTTAATCTCACTAGGTATTCTATCAGTTTCATCTTCTAGGATCACCTTTCCAGAGTAACATGTCCTACTCCAGCCTGAATGTTGTTATCTCATTCTGCTGCACATCCTCTATTCTGAAATATTCCATCACTGCTATTTCCTTGTTTCCTTAATTTAATATATTCTTTATTTAATACACACATCTAACAGAGAAAGGAAGCACCTGAGATAATATTTTTTAAGAACAGATATGTCTGAACATGCCTGTATATCTACTCACCTTGTTAACATTTTCCTGGGTATAGAATTCAAGGTTTAAACAAAACTCAGAATTTTGAAGCTACAGCTCCATCTGGAAGAAGGAACTAGAGCATGCTCCCAATTTTCAGCATCTGCTAATTAACTAAGTCTAATATTTTTGTCAGAGTCCTTCTCTTTCTATTCTGCCTAATAGTACAGTTCACAATGCTTTTTGTTACTCCCTCCTAAGGATGGAGGGAAGAATAGATCAGTAGTCCAAGTTGTTCCTAAATATACTTTGACACAATCTTGTGCAAGTCATGCATGCCCTCCTGCTCGGCTTACCGAGGTTTATGGTGCTAACACTCCTGGAGCCTTTGGTGGTGTACGCCTGTGTATACCCGTGGTGTCAATCGGATTTCTTCTCAGTTTCCCCCTTGCCAAGTTAGGCTTCAGATTTCTTATGTTTGCCAAGCCAGTTCCTACTTCTAGTATTCTTTCCTTGTTGCTTCATCTGTATGATATTTGGTTTCTGGCTTTTTATTAATTTCTTTATTGTTACTAAATTGGAATTAAGAGCAAATGGAAGTAAATGTGTGTATTCAATTTGCTACGCCATCTTAAAAAGAAGTTCAATATAGCTTTCTGTCCTTGATTTTTTGGTTTGAAAAAATTTTAAAGCTACAGAAATTATTCAAGTACAATTATTCAAGTACCTTCATATAGGTAAACTGATTGTAATAATTGTCATATATGTATCATACCCCTGTTTGTGTGTGTGTGGGGGGGTATGTGTGTGTAATGTCATATCTGTTTTAAATTCATATAAAGACATTTTCAATAACTTTTCATTGGAAACTCACTTTAGGATGCACTAAAATCTATATTCATTAAGCAAAAGTGCCTTTATAATTATGATAAAAATAGAAATGTTTCCTTATTTAATGAATTTGGAATAAACAATTTTTTTTGTCTCAACTAGCTCTCAAATTTTATAATTCTATGAATAAGATGTCACTTATAATTTTGAAAATAAAATAAATTTGAGTTAAGGTGGACTTAGGAAAAATATTTATTAAAATGTTTATTTTTTCACATAAATACACAATAGGTATATTGCTTATGAATAATGGGTGACAGGTTTGCATCACCTTATTCTACATGTAAATAACTGTACTTATATAAATTACTGTACTCTAGAACCAAAGGCCAAAGGTGAAAAATCCATGGTATAGGCAGGATTCCATTTCAACTTGTTAGGCAGTAAATAACAATTAATATACTCTGTATTACAAAAGAGAAAATACTGCTATTAAATTCATATTCACTTATTCTAAAGTATTTTCTACTTTGACACATGTATAGTGTTTATTTTTATTTAATTTTACTTGAGTTAAATCATTAAGAATATAATAGCAACATAATGTCTTTATTTTTAATTGATTTCTTAAGTGAGAATGCATTTCAAAATCCTTATCAGCACCACTAGTGCCGTGCAACTAACTGTATTTGTAAAGAACTTTGAATTGAAATGATGGTGTTATATTTTTTTCTTACAGGAAGCTCTGATCATGGCAAGCATGGACCATCCACATTTAGTCCGGTTGTTGGGGGTGTGTCTGAGCCCCACCATTCAGCTGGTGACACAGCTTATGCCCCATGGCTGCCTGTTGGATTACGTCCATGAACACAAGGATAACATTGGTTCCCAGCTGCTGCTGAACTGGTGTGTCCAGATAGCTAAGGTACGTGCCCATCCCTTCCGGTGGAAGTGACTTCTCTAGCTTTTTATTTCCTGGTCTAGAACTGTTTCGATATGGAAAACATGTCAAATTTTTTATCTATTTAAATATATTAAGCTTGCAATTTAAAGATAGAGTATAAGGAAGTATTTACACTCAAACCACAGATCAAAGGCATGATATACTTATATATTTTTGGATTGTTACAGTGACCAGAGGACAAGAGAAATATCTTACCAGGCAGGGGGAAAATACATAGACCTGTGTTTGATAAGGAAAAGGAAAAGGAAATCACGCTCCACCCTCACCTCCACTGCTAGAGAAATATGTCAATTTCTCAAGCAAAACCGAAGTGAGGCTTGTGCCTTGGAATTTCAATGTCAGGTCCTACTGCACAAAAGCCCTTAAAAGCCCTTTCAAACAGAGCTCAGACAGAAACACACAGATTTTTCAATTTATTCTGAAGAGGCAAGCATAACATACAAATTGATATCTTCATAAAACGTTTTGCTGTGCATATAAAAGGAAAGGAAAGCAATATAAAAATTACATGGAAAGGACCCAGTCCAGAAAAGTTTGTGGAGTGGTGAATCCTTTTTTAAAAAAGTGAGTATAGCAACTTGTTAAAATTTTTGGTGCATTAAAAAGCCCCAGAACATTGTCTAGTTCCATGATTTAAAAATGTAAGGCATGGAATTATTGTGTGAAGTGAAATTTTTCTTGAAAGTCTGAAAAAATAAAACCAAGTCATAGGTTCAGCTGCAGGTGGGTGTTAAGAGGGCTTCATGGTCCCTAGGTCCTCACAGATATCGGCTTTGAGATATATCCTGTGTTGAAGATATATCCTGTGTTGAAGATATATCCTGGACTTGTTTGGCTTCTTATTTGTTTTGGTGCCATTTAGTGAACAAACAAAACCCAAGGAAGAAGAGATTAAATGTCTTAATTGTCCCATTTTTAGATGATTTTTGAAAATAGCATGTACATTCAATTTTCAGTATTACAAAATGTGAAATTTCTAATACTTTCCTAGACATTTTGATAGTGCTAATTGGTCTTTAATGGTTGGGGGTTTTAGTGGTCTGGCACAAGATTTCAGGTATGTAACATACATGAGGGAAGTGGTCTCGATCTCAGAACTTGGGCTGATGGGTGAGGTGATTCTGATGAACTTAAGAGCAACTACTTCCCTGTAGGAGACTGGTTTCCCTAAAGGACCCAGTCCAGAAAAGTTTGTGGAGTGGTGAATTCTTTTTTAAAAAAAGTGAGTATAGCAACTTGTTAAAATTGTTGGTGCATTAAAAAGTCCCAGAACATTGTCTAGTTCCATTATTTAAAAATGTAAGGCATGAAATTATTGTGTGGAGTGAAATTTTTCTTGAAAGTCTGAAAAAAATAAAACCAAGTCATAGGTTCAGCGGAGGTGATTCTGATGAACTTAAGAGCAACTACTCCCCTGTAGGAGACTGGTTTCCCACCAGTATTCTCAGTTTTCAATTTTTTAAAGAGGGACTAGAACTGGATGGTTTATGTGACTTCTCCAAATTTAAATCTTGACTCAAACTTTGAACTGCTCTGAGAGCCAAATAAAGCATTCATGTCCTGTAGTCCACCAGTATTCAATTTCTGGTATACATGTTTTATGTTTAGGAAACCATTTATGGTTATCTATACTAAGGATATTTCTTGAAGAAACTTCTCCTTCTAGATATATACCCCTGAATTGAGTTTTAATTCACTGTTTCAACTCTTACATCAAAATATGACTTGATTTCCCAGTTGGCATGGCTCAGTGGTTGAGCATCTACCTATGAACCAGGAGGTCATGGTTTGATTCCTGATCAGGGCACATGCCCGAGTTGCAGGCTCCATCCCAGTGTGGGGCATGCAGGAGGCAGCAATCAATGATTTTCTCTCATTATTGATGTTTCTATCCCTCTCTACTTCTCATTTTCTCTCTGAAATCAATAAAAATATTTTTTAAATATGACCTGATATTCTATAAATCATACAGTTATAGTCATCTTTGCAGTTGTATAATATAAATGTGAAAATATTAATTTAGTAGTCTTAGCCTGTTTTTTTTTTTTGCAATCAAAGAATGAATAGGAATACATATCTCGAAGAAGAAATTTGAGCTAACTCTTAAAATGAAAACTAAAAGAATTATTTGAAGGAAAATCCCAGTTTAGCTTTATATACCATAAATCTCAATATAGCTTCTTATGGATTATGTATTATAATTTTGTGAATATTGCATGACAAACTCACTACTGGGAGGATTCTTTATGGTAATGAAGTTTCAAATATAACTCTTCAAAAAGTGATTTGCTTATCTAAGAATGTCTATAATTTATAAGGTGAGCTAAATATGCAATAAGAATTCTCAAAGCATCCTAGCACTGTACATGAAAACAAAGCTAAGTTTCAAATGTCTTAGTGCTTCTCTATATTTCCTGCAGTGTTTTCCATAATTTAGGTTTTGTCCTTAGGGATACATGGCATTAATATATCATTTATGCAAGACTGTATACTCTAATAAAAGAAACTGCTTTGAGTTCCCTGAATAATCACTGTTTTAAACCTTTTTGCCTTTGCAAATGCCATCTCTTCTACTTGGAAATCTTTTCTCATAGTTTCTTTTTCATTCATCAGCACCAATTGGGCTTCCTCCCCTTATGGTGCCTTCCCTGGTCAACCTCTCCTTTTAAACAGAAGTAATTCTTCCTCTTCTGTATTAGTTTTGGTCATTGGTGTCTTGAACACATTTTTATGATTTAAATGGTATACTGTGTGTTTACATAACTCCCTGACTGTATGGCACATTTACTTAGCCATTAATCCTTCAATGCATATTTTGTGGATACCCACCATGTGCCAGGTTCTATGCTGACTGAAGTGTCTAGGGGTAAACACCATCAGCATGGGCCTGCTTCTCTCTGTATTCCCTAATAGCATGAACAGACATTCAACAAACAAAACAATTAAGTATAGGATTAAACACTGTGGTTCAGCTTTTGAAGAAAAGTAATTATGGGGGAGATGCCAGGGCAGGCCCCAATGAGTCCTAAGGGAAAAAGGCTCTGGCTTTGGGAAGAAATTGTTAGCAGAGAAAAGATTACACAAAGCCCTAATATATGGTGGCTATGTAAATTATTGTCTAAATGGAAGAATGTTAAAAGTGAATGGCGGCTCTATGACTATTTACTCCAGGACAACAGGCACACAAATGTCCTAAACAGATCAAGGTATGCCTGAAATGTAGCAGATAGTTATTGAAGTATTTTACCGTGGAATTGACATAATCCAATTTATGTTCAGAGGAGTTTATGTATGGAAAATAGATTGAGGCAATATAAAAATGGAAATGAAGATACCAGATAGAAGTCTGGGGCTAATGAAAATAATGAGACATAAATAGCATTAGGATACATTTTTGAGACAAATTTCAGGCATTTGATTATTTGTTAGCTGTGGGCTATGAGGGAGAGAAGCAGGGCGATGCTCTTTCCTGAAGTGGAGAAGGCTGAGAGATTAAACTTATTTGCAGGGTGAAGAATTCCAAAGTTCAGTTCCAGACACAGCAAATTGAAAAACTGTATAGAACATGAAACTGGAGTTGTCAGCTAGATAGTTGAGTTTGTCCAGGTCTGTAGATGTAGAATTAGGAGTTATAGGCATTGAAATATATGGCTAAAATAGGGGATTTCTGGGGCTGACTAGGTCTGATTCATATATCCTCTCGGCATCTAAATTAAGTCTTATTTACTAGTATAGAATAGCTATTCAATAAAAATATTTAATAAATATTTTAACCAATGAAACAATTCAAAAATATACTCTTAAGGAAGGAACCTTTCCTTGATCTTTTTTTTTCTTTCTACTTTGGGGGCAGAATTGTGTAGTAGAAACAGCATTAGGTTCAGAAGGACCTACATTAGTATGTCAATGACCTGACCACTTTTAGTTTGGTGAGTTTGGGTAAGTTATTCAGTCTCTTTGAATTGTATTTCTCAAGTGGAGTTAATTATTATATTTTTTCTCATGTGCAAAGTAAGTGGAATAGTGTCTACCTGCAATAGACTGAAAATCAACCCCTTATCCTCAAAGATGTTACGTACTATCCCCAGAATTTATTAATGTTTCTTGGCATGTTAGAAGGGACTGACTGCAGAGATGTGATTAAAATCAGGGTTTTAAAATGGGGAGGTTATCCTGGGTTCTCCAGGTGGGCCCAGTGTCAGCCAGAGAACCTTATATGTACGTGGGAGGGAGAAGGGCCAGAGTAAGAGAGAGAAGACATCAAGTTGGAAACAGTTTTGGATGATGAGTTTGAAGATGAAGGACAGGGCCACAAGCTGAAGAATTTATTCTATTTCTAGAAGCCAAAAAAGGCAGGAAACCAATTCACCCCTAGACCCTCCAGAAGAAACCCAGGCTACCAACACGTTGTTTTTAGTCCAGTGAAACTGATTTTGGACTTCTGATATCCAGGGCTGTAAGAAAATAAATTTGTTTTGTTTCAAGCCACTAAAATTGTGGTTATTATTTACAGCAATAAAAAACAAATATGCTTCCTCATAATGATTTCCAAAGATTAAATAAAATAGCCTACTGAAGGTCCCTGGCTCAGCTCCTAGAACATAGAGTGTTTAAAAACAATCCCCTTTATTAGTTATAGCCTGAAAACCACAAAACAGAGAGCTGTTTTAGAAATGTCTGTAAAATATGAGTATCATAGTCTGAGTAAAGACCAGTGTTTTATAAATAGCTATTTCAATAACTTAGTGGCTTCTTTTTCTTTGCTTTCAATTCTCACCAAGAGAGACTATGAAAGTAAGAGAAATATCAGCCTATTTACTTCAATACCCACTTCCATTTGGGTTGCACACCCCCCCTTTTTTTTGGTTGACAAAGCTGGGAGGAGGGGAGATGGTACTATGAAATAACCAATTGATATTTGTGTTATAACCTCCCTGTGGAAAGTGTAACAGTTTGTGGAA